CACCCTCATGTCGTTTCAAACCTGTAAGACCTTCGTTCATCTTCGGAACACAAATTAAGATATTTCTGATGAACTCCGAGAGCTCTCTGACTCTCCATACACAGCAATGTTAAACATAGCAAGGACATCGGTAAAATAATCCATGTCACATCATTATGTTATTATTGTTTTTTTTGTTGTTGTTAACGAAAACTATTAAAAATAGCCATCATTAATTTAAATAAAGCTGAACTAAAATACAATAAAAAATACTATATAAATATTAGATAAAAAATACATGAACATTAAAACATTGCCTTGGCAAAAAAACTGAAATAAAATAAGTTATTATTATTATTATTATTTTGTAATTTATTTACTAAAACTTAAAGTGAAAAACTAAATTTAGGCTAAATAGAAATATTTAAAAATAAAAAACGACAAATTAAATGGCAAAAGCACACACATAAAAAATGACTAAAATTTAAACTGAAATTAAAACTGAAAATATCAAAATAAAAGCTAATTTAAAATATTCATAATAACAATGCTAAAATAACACTGGCAATATTTGTCCATAAACTCAGTTCAAGATCTATTCTCTGAATTCTAATCTCTGATCTAGAGTTTTTGTTTTAATCTTAATTTTTAGTTTTTTTAGTTAGTTTTTTGTGTTTTGTGCATGTTTTGTCATTTTTATTTTATTTTTTTTAAATGTCTGAATAGTTTTTATTATTTTTATTTTAGTTCAACGAAATGAAAATGAGAAATGTTGGCGACTATTTGAAAAAAAAAAGTTTAAGGTTTTATTTTATTTTATTTTATTTTTCAGTTAAAGTTTGTTTTATTTCAATTATTGTAAATGTATTTTTAAAAGTTTTGTTTAATTATAAAAACCCTAAACTGCGTAGCAAAGCAGCTTCATCATTAAAGACTCAGATTTTCTTCCATTAATATTGATATCTAGCTGTAACATAATTATTTCCTGTGTTTCCTTGTGTTCGTCTCCGGTGGGAATGATAATGGATTCACATCATGATCGTTCGGTCTTTTATGGAGGGACTTGGAGGAAGCTGATAATGGTTTAATGAGCGTACGGTAATAATTAGTGTGTAATTATGTAACTCTAATCTAATCGACTCTTTATGGCTGTTGCCGGTGTGGAGATAAAACTCCCAGAATCCACTGTTCTCTCTTCTGAAAGACAGGAAGTGATTTGTAGCGTCAGAGTTGGTTTCCTGTGATTGTACACTGGAGAGTTATGAGGAAACTCGCTTTAGTCTCGAGTGTTTCTGCTCCATAAACCAGTGTTTATTCTGGAGTTAATGTACTTGCAGCAAAACAGCTAAAGGTCGTTAAAACTGCATACATATACTTAAGAAGCAAAATCGCATGACGTATTAACACTCTTTTTTCAATTCATTATTACAATACATTGTCATAGCGTTCCCTCTGGTAGGAAATGCATGGTGTAAATCCAGTATAGCCTACGTAAAGTCACTTCTGCTGTTCAGCAGAGCAAGATAGATAGAAAAACTGAGCTGTATTGTCCGTAAAGTATCTGTGACTTTACAAACGGCCACAGATGTCGTTTCCCGACGTTCGATATTCGCAAGGGACCGTCTCTAAAGTTACATACGACATTAGTATTCACTTTTCTAAGTTAAATAGTATTTGAGATTCTAAATACAAAATTCTGAATTTATATATATATTACACTTGTTGCATAATTTGACAAAATTACAGCTTCATTTGATTTAAAAAAAAATGTCTTCCATGTTTTAATTTTAACAGTAAACCTCTTTTTTTACCAAAAAATTAAAGGAATTGTTAACTTTTAATGTGATTACATTTTAAAAGATTAATAAAATTGTTAATCTTATGCCCTCATTTGATTACAACTGTTTTTGATCCATAATAAATCCAGAAAAATTAAAACAGACTGAAAAAAAAAAATGTCATAGGGCCCTATTATTGTAAAATTCTCAATAATTTATTACATTGTTAAAGTTTTATGAATTCAGCTGATTAGACATGCTTTTTGATTATTAATCCAGAAAAAATTTAACAGAATTTGGGGGGGGAAATAAGTTTATTTTTGTTAAACTTTTAATAAATTGTTGTTAAATTGAAAAAATGTAAAGAAAAAATAGAAGAACTAAAATGGGAAAAACTGAATTTGATATACAATAAAAATGTTATAGTGCCCTATTATTGTATAACTGTTTTAATAAATTAAATTGGTAAATACAAATTATTAAATTGTTACATTTGTATGAATTTAATTGATTAGACATGCTTTTTGATAATTAAAATTAAATTAAATCATAATCCAGAAAAATAAAAATGGAATAAAACAGATTTCAAAATCCCTAAAAATTAAATGTCTGTTAACCTTTTTATTAAATTGCTATCAAATTAGTTTAAAATTAACAATTTCAACCAATTAGTCATGCTTTTTTGATTACTAACTCTTAATTTAACCATTAAAACAGAATTAAAATGAAAAAAAAAAAAGAATTTGGAAAAAAATCAAATGTATTTCTAGAGCCCTACAAATTTTTTTTTGTTAACTTTTCAATAAATTGCTGATAAATTGTATTAGTTTCATGATTCCAACTAATGAAACATGCTTTTTTTGTTTACTAACACTTAATTTAACCACTAAAGTGGAAAAGTAAAGCTGAATTTGTGAAATAATAAAATGGAAAAATTCTAATTGAATTTGGGGAAAAAATTTAACTGATTTCTAGGGCCCTAAAAATGACACTCCATTCATTCATTCATTCATTCATTCATTCATTCATTCATTCATTCATTCATTCATTCATTCATTCATTCATTCATTCATTCATTCATTCATTCATTCATTCATTCATTCATTCATTCATTCATTCATTCATTCATTCATTCATTCATT